TATTGCCCTGATGGTGGAAATGGGAATTTTCACTGCTCTAGCTCTTTTCTTAAAGCCACTTCACTAATTTGTGAAGCTCAATTATCTTTTGCTGCACATCAGAAATATATTCTTTGTTTTTTTTCTGATTGTGATGGATGATTAAGGGAATTTGGGCTTTGTTTTCCCTCCTATTTATATTTCTGTGAAACAGGAAGCCATGGCTGGATAATTTCATGTTCATAGTGATGGATGATTAAGGGAATTTGGCATTTGCTGTCCCTCCTATTTATATTCCTGTGAAACAGGAAGCCATGGATGGATAATTTCATGTTCATAATCACCCTGGTATGCTCAAAATTGTAAATATGGATGGGAATATACTTCACAGATATTTTACTCATAAGAATTTCTAGGGGTGCCAATAATTGTGTCCAACATGTATTAGAGAAAAACATTTATTTCATAATGATATTTCCCCCCATTTTAAATTCTTATTATCCAATGAAAGGTTAGATTTTTGTGAATTTTTTAAATAAAAGATCAAAATGATTAACAATGCAGATTAATTTTCACAGCCGCCTTTGTTCATATTTACCAAGGGTGCCGTATATATAATAAACATATATAAAGCAGAACTTTTGCATTGTTACTGTAGACTGTCAGCAAAACGCCTTTACATTTTTTTTTTGTGGCTGAATAAGAGAGAGACCAAAGGAGGAGGGGAAAAGGGAGGAGAAAAAACTCTCAGTTTCGGATCAGTGAACTGTATGAGGATTTTCCAGACGGTTTTATTGCATGTTTTTCTCTGCCCCATCCTGTCACAGATATCATTAAAGAGCAGTCCAAAGAGCTGAGAGGCACCCAGAGACAAATCACCAGAGACAGAGCTGCCCTGGAGAGACAGGAGAGGCAAATGGTAAGAGGAACAAAGCAGTTTCATATCAGTTGACTTCAACTCTCAGCGTCCACCTCTTCCCTTCCAGCACCATGCGTCGCTGCTTATGCCAGAAAGTCCCTCTTTGATTTCTTTTTTATTGCATCAAAGAATAGATTTAGATAATTTATTTATTTTTGATCATCCTGTTAATTGCATTTAGAAACAGGTAGATTACGTGGCCTAAAACAGTTAAAAACAGTTCATGGCTCAATACTCATGAAGATGACTTGAGTGTTCATTTCGGCCCACCACACTGTTAAGAATCCAACACTCCCGCTCACTCCCTCCATTTACGTTAATTGTTTCTATGTAAACATAAAAATGTGCATAATTGCTTCCCAAGAGGGGGGGTTCTTTTTTCTTCATCTTTATTGTAATTAGACATGGATATGCTTTGTTGTCTATTTCATTTTTTTAAATGACCTATATTAGAAGATAGCTGCAGGGCGGTCATGTGCCACTGCTTTAATATCCCACACACGTTGAAAATCTGGGGTACAATTTAAAGAGTTTTTGGATGGTGAGGAAATGATAAAAACGTTTGAGTTTTGGGTGAACTGTTTCTGTTTTTCACCCCTAAAAAAAACCCTGCTCCAGATGGCGTCATATCTGTCAACTGCTGGATAATTATTAGTCTTCTGAAGTGGGTCATACTTTTCATTATCTGGTTTCTGAAAGGGTTTTGTTAAGCACATCAGTCTGTCACTTTTATTCTAGTTTTTCAATTCATAGTGCTGCCTAGTGGCTGACGTGACAATAAAACATCTCTAATAGGCCTGATGCTACAGCTTCATCTCACTCAGCTCTCTATACATGAATATTTATAATGATGGCATATCATTTTTACCATGGCGAAACAGTAAAAAATGCCCTATTCCAGTCATATTTTGTTAGTGACAGGTAAACATAGGCAATATAGACAGAAGCTGCCATGCAACATCGTTGTGTGTTAAAGTAGGACAGTGCTGTGTGTGTGTGTGTGTGTGTGTGTGTGTGTGCGCGCAGTTAATGTGGGTTCAATAAATGTGATGGGCAGGCATCATGTGAGGTCAGAGCAGCACCTGCTCTAATGTGTGTGTCATTAGAGTTCATTCTGTCTAATGTGTCTGTTTAGCTGATCAGCATGAGTTTACCTGAGAGACTAACATTAAGAGCACACAAGAGAAAACAGGATCTGCTGAGGTAAATGTTAAAAAGAATATGCCTGGGATTTACATTATGGATTTAATGGTCTCCATCAGATGATCACATGTTAAATTCGGGAAGTGATTGACTTTCCAATAAGCTTACATTTCCACTTACCAGATGCTAGTTAGGACAGGGTTTTTATTTGAAAAAATATTTGTCTAGTCTCACAATATTTTCTAAATACGTTGCAAAAAGAGAGTTGAATAGTCTTTAGTGCTGCACATGGAGTGTGTTGTAGTGTTGCAGGCTTTAATTCTGACGGGCCACCCTCACTAACACACAGTCTCATGGGAGATCTCTGCAGACACACACACACACACACACACAGTTTTCCCACATTACATCTGAAAAAACACCTAACTGCTTGAAGTTCCTCAGGGCAGAGACCTGTTTTCAGACATTTACTAATGTAAAGAAACACAGACCTCTGGGTCTAAACAAGCAAACATGGCACAAGTTGGTCATGAACATGTCTGGGTGACTTGTTGTTCTGTCTTAGAAGTCAAAACTCAGTTTTGTTCCAATTACATGTAGAAACTGGATGTGTTTATTCTTAACAGGAAATGGAAATCAAAAAAATGGCCAAGACTGGAAACCGAGAAGCCTGCAAGATACTAGCCAAACAGCTGGTTCAGCTCAGAAAACAGAAGAACCGAACCTACGCCGTGAGCTCTAAGGTCACGTCCATGTCCACGCAGACCAAGGTCATGAACTCTCAGATGAAGATGGCTGGTGCCATGTCTACCACAGCGAAGGTAAGATGCTCAGACCTCCGAATGGATCTGCATGACTACCAAATTAGTTATTCCATTGCTGTCCATGGAGGGCTTTACTGGAACCTCCTCATTACAGGACTCTAGTTCTCCCCCACCCTCCAATGACGGCTCTGTATTATTCACATGTAGCCTGATGTTCCCTGGAAGTGCTGGAAAAACAGAATCCCTTATGTAGCGAAGAACTTCAAAAGAATCCTTAAACAGGGTTTAATTATCATGTCGTTGAGGGGCTCCTTACTTCACTGCTATTATTGTGACCCAGTTTATATAGTTTCTGCACTACATTTAGAAAGAACTCATATCAGGGCAATCTTTATGTGTTGATTCACACTGTCCTTATTACTGTTCATTTAGGGGTTTTCTATGATGCTTGAACAGAATTTGAAATATGAGACATGTTGTTCCTCTATGGCATTTAGAGCAGCTGAATTAATTGGCTAATCTATTTTTTTTTTCAATAAATGTGATGGCAATCAACCAGAAGGACATTATAAATGCAATTTATATGGTGGTTTTATTTGTTTTAAGCAAGCTCTCTTAAAGGGATAGTTCACCCAAAAATGAAAATTTGATGTTTATCTGCTTACCCCCAGAGCATCCAAGATGCAGGTGACTTTGTTTCTTCAGTAGAACAGAAACAAAGATTTTTTACTTAAACCGTTGCAGTCTGTCAGTCATATAATGGAAGTGAATGGGAATCCCAGCTTTGAGAGTAAAAAAAACATACACAAACAAAACCAAATTAAACTCTGCGGCTCATGACGATACATTGATGTGTAAAGACATGAAACGATCGGCCTGTGCAAGAAATTGAACAGTATTTATATTGTTTTTTACCTCTGATGCACTGCAATGTCCGAACTGTCTGAACTGTCCTGAGCGCATCCTCGACAGCCGGCGCGTGACGCTTCTTCTTCTTCTATTTGCTTTACGGCGGATCGCAGACTTATAAGTGCATTACCGCCACCTATCTCTCAAATGGACCATTGACACTCCTAATTGAGATTGTAGATAGAGTGTCAATGGTCGAGGACTCGCTCAGGACAGTTCAGACAATCAGTCACTTCCATTATAAGACTGACAGACTGCAACGGTTTGAGTTAAAAATCTCCGTTTGTGTTCTACTGAAGAAACAAAGTCACCTATATCTTGGATGCCCTGGGGGTAAGCAGATAAACATCAAATTTTCATTTTTGGGTGAACTATCCCTTTAAGGACTTGTTTAATAAGATCTTACCAGAAGTTTTTTAATTTTTATATGTATATAATATAAAGTTTTTATTACATTTAAAACACCCTGTGTAATTTTTTTGTTTTTTTTAATTTTATAACTAAAATTAATTATAAGAGAATTTAAGCAGAATTTAACCTCCTCACTGGAATTCAAACCTGAGCTGTTAAAACACATTATAGCATTTAAAATTATTATTATAAAGAAGTTTTTTCTCAGCCGGTTTTAATTTTTCTGTTTTCTGTTTTTATTTCAATTTTAGTTAACATTTTGGTCATTTGGTTGTGTGTTTTTGTTATTCATTTTTTGTGTGTTTATCTGTATAGTTTTTATTCATTTTAGTTTCACTTTTAGTTATTTCAGTACATTAAATTAAACTAAAATGTAAATATGAATGAACCTTTACTTTTTACTTTGTTCTTTTTTAAATTTTATTTCAAGTAATTATATTTTTTTATTGTTTTGTTTTTTGTTTTAGTTTTAGTTAACTATAATAACTCTGCTAAATACTTTTTTAAAAATGTAGTTAAGCTAATGTATCAATCATTAATATATGCAAATACATTTCCATAAATTTTCATTGACACTCCTAATTGAGATTGTAGATAGAGTGTCAATGGTCGAGGACTCGCTCAGGACAGTTCAGACAATCAGTCACTTCCATTATAAGACTGACAGACTGCAACGGTTTGAGTTAAAAATCTCCGTTTGTGTTCTACTGAAGAAACAAAGTCACCTACATCTTGGATGCCCTGGGGGTAAGCAGATAAACATCAAATTTTCATTTTTGGGTGAACTATCCCTTTAAGGACTTGTTTAATAAGATCTTACCAGAAGTTTTTTAATTTTTATATGTATATAATATAAAGTTTTTATTACATTTAAAACACCCTGTGTAATTTTTTTGTTTTTTTTAATTTTATAACTAAAATTAATTATAAGAGAATTTAAGCAGAATTTAACCTCCTCACTGGAATTCAAACCTGAGCTGTTAAAACACATTATAGCATTTAAAATTATTATTATAAAGAAGTTTTTTCTCAGCCGGTTTTAATTTTTCTGTTTTCTGTTTTTATTTCAATTTTAGTTAACATTTTGGTCATTTGGTTGTGTGTTTTTGTTATTCATTTTTTGTGTGTTTATCTGTATAGTTTTTATTCATTTTAGTTTCACTTTTAGTTATTTCAGTACATTAAATTAAACTAAAATGTAAATATGAATGAACCTTTACTTTTTACTTTGTTCTTTTTTAAATTTTATTTCAAGTAATTATATTTTTTTATTGTTTTGTTTTTTGTTTTAGTTTTAGTTAACTATAATAACTCTGCTAAATACTTTTTTAAAAATGTAGTTAAGCTAATGTATCAATCATTAATATATGCAAATACATTTCCATAAATTTTATTTTGTACAACTCTATATGTATTTGGCATAAAATAAATTCTGTACAGCACAGCTTTTGCCATGCGAATAGTCTCAGTTGTTCACATGGCATTAAAATCTCAACAACTTGCCTTTGTCTTAAGCCTAATTGTTACATTTTGCATGAGATGGTTAGGTTTATTCATTTTATTCTGGCGACACTACTTTGTTGAATAAGAAGCTGAAAAAAGGTTTATGTTCTTTTTTAAATTTTATTTCAAGTAATTATATTTTTTTATTGTTTTGTTTTTTGTTTTAGTTTTAGTTAACTATAATAACTCTGCTAAATACTTTTTAAAAAATGTAGTTAAGCTAATGTATCAATCATTAATATATGCAAATACATTTCCATAAATTTTATTTTGTACAACTCTATATGTATTTGGCATAAAATAAATTCTGTACAGCACAGCTTTTGCCATGCGAATAGTCTCAGTTGTTCACATGGCATTAAAATCTCAACAACTTGCCTTTGTCTTAAGCCTAATTGTTACATTTTGCATGAGATGGTTAGGTTTATTCATTTTATTCTGGCGACACTACTTTGTTGAATAAGAAGACATGCAAACACACAGTGTGCACTTCTAAAGCACGTCTTATCTTTACCAATCACTACAGGCACGTAGTGGCATCATGAAATGTAGTTTCAGCCATTTAAATTCAGTCTCTGACTGCTCATTGATGGGGTGTTGTTTTTCTCACTCATTTACAAGCCGTACTCCCACAAATAAATTCAGTGTTTGTGTATCCAATCCATATTGTATGAGGAAGGAAGCTATTAATATTTCCTCACCTGATTGTTAATGCATCATGGGATTTGTAGTCAATCATAAGAAGGTAGCTGGTTTAATAGATATGAGATGGGTGATAATGAGGCTGTGTGTAAATAATTCTCTGTAATCAGATAGGACTCTTCCTGTGTGTCTGCCCTGCCACACTCTAGAAGCCCAGAGGGACAGTAAAGCACACTTCTCTCCATGCGACCTATTTTTATGTTTTGTGTCATCTACTTACTGTACTCCCCCTTCTCACCAAATGGTATGAAGTTGAAATTTATGTTGAGCTGCATTCAAAATGTATTCTTCCGTGGTGGATTTTTGTCAGTGCTTGTGTTATTTTTATTACCGTTTTGGGCACCGTAAGGATGCTCTATTTATTCTCTGGGAGTGTGATGGATGGCTTGAACTCTTTCTGTCTTTCAGACTATGCAGACTGTCAATAAAAAATTGGACCCCAAGAAGACGCTACAGACGATGCAGGACTTCCAGAAGGAGAACTTAAAAATAGGAATGACGGAGGACATGAGTAAGTTCTTCGACGTGCCTGACACAAATTAGAGGCTGGTTTTGTGGTTCTCAAATGATGGATCTGTTCAGGGGAAAGAAATGATGCTAAATGATATACTGACTATGTATTATATATTGAGTTGCATTGTATTTTTTGAATTCATCTCACCATATAACTACGCATAGTCAGGATAGCCAAATAAATAGGCTTATCAGCACTTCCCATAATTAACTTCACATCATAAGCTATTCATCCAGACAACTTTGGCACATTTTATCTATTGCCTGGCTGAAGCAGCCAAATTAGGTAGATGCCAACCTGGACAGATTGTGTGACATGCTCTCATCCTCAAAAACCATGTATAAAACTGCATAAATTAAAAGAAAATATGAATCAGACTACATTGAAACTGGCTCACTTGCTACAAGGGCATAGTTTGTGCACACAGTAAGTTCTGTGCAGTGAATTATTGGCTACAGACAGCATGAAACCATCCAAATTCGTTATTGTGCAAATTAACAATTTTGGCACTGTGTTGGGTTGCCACTAGTTTTCAGTAGCTAGACCTTAACGGCAAAAGTCCTTGTCTACATTGTAGCCAAAAACTGCCTGTTTAGACAGGAAGAGATAGTTTGAGTGTCATGTAAGTGACCAACTACAGTTTTTTTATGTGCCGTATTTTGTTTTTATGTGCCATTTAGGGTGGATTTTACAGAAAATGCTAAAAAAAAAAAAACTATGGATAAAATCATTTCAAATTTTCAAAATTAATAATGACTTAGGATAATAAAGAATAAGGAGACTGAATTAATTAGTAAAAAAATGATGAAAATGAGTTGCTAGTAAGTACTCCTAAATATCTTTCAACAGTTTGATGCCACTAACCTGAGATCCTCAGAAGCTCTCGTTCAATCTCTTACCTTGCTAACAAACTTGGTTTCCAGTTAGATTAATAAACAACATTAAAGGGCTAGTTCACCCAAAAATTTTAATTTTGTCATTAATTACTCACCCTCATGTCGTTCCAAACTTGCGAGACCTTCGTTCATCTTCAGAACACAAATTAAGATATTTCTGATGAAATCCGAGAGCTTTCTGACCCTGCATAGACAGCAATGCAACTCACATTTTCAAGACCCAGAAAGGTAGTAAGGACATCATTAAAATAGTCCATGTGACATCAGTGGTTCAACCTTAATTTTATGAAGCTGCGAGAATACTTTTTGTGTGCAGCGAAAACAAAAATAACGACTTTATTCAACGATTTCTTTTCTTCCTTGTCAGTCTTCAATGTGAGTTCACAAGAGTATCACGAAGCATGTGTGTGCATTCCTCTGCTTGTAAACAAGCCACAGCGCATGCGTGTTCTACATCAGCCGCACCACACGCATGAATGCGCAACGGATAATGCTATGAGAGAGAAGAACTGTTGAATAAAGTCATTTGTTTTGTTTGCGCACAAAAGGTATTCTCTTACCTTCATAAAATTACAGTTGAAGATTTCTTTTCTTCCTTGTCAGTCTTCAATGTGAGTTAACAAGAGTATCACGAAGCATGTGTGTGCATTCCTCTGCTTGTAAACAAGCCGCAGCGCATGCGTGTTCTACATCAGCCGCACCACACGCATGAATGCGCAACGGATAATGCTATGAGAGAGAAGAACTGTTGAATAAAGTCATTTGTTTTGCTTGCGCACAAAAGGTATTCTCTTACCTTCATAAAATTACAGTTGAATCACTATGTCCTTACTACCTTTCTGGGCCTTGAACGTGGTAATGCCCTTACTGTCTATGTAGGGTCAGAAAGCTCTTGGATTTCATCAAAAATATCTTGATTTGTGTTTAGAAGATGAAAGAAGGTCTTACAGGTCTGGAAGGACATGAGGGTGAGTAATTAATGACAGCATTTTCATTTTTGAGTGAATTAACCCTTTAATTCCATCTGGATCCTAAAACAAAACCAGTTCAGACTCACTGGTCTTGAGATTGGGATAGTCTGTCAAATTTCACCAACTTCTACAACTTTCTGTTCTCAGTCAACGATACACTGGATGAGATTTTTGATGAATCAGGTGATGAGGAAGAAAGCCAGGACATCGTGAACCAGGTGCTGGATGAGATCGGCATAGAGATCTCAGGAAAGGTAAGACGCTTGCTTTCTGTCTGCGCTGTTCTAGCGACGGCCCCAGCGGCGGCTTTCAGCAGATGGCTTGACTCTGGCTGTGATTACTGTAGGCCTTTCTTTCGATTCATGAGATGCAGAATCATTGTATCTGATTGCAGCAGATGTGTATTCCCTTTGGCAAAAATGTAATACTCATATTACCGTATTCCACAGATTCTTTGTCCTGTTTTTCCCCAAATAAAGTGCTTGGGCTCTGTTTCTGTAGAACTGTTGGGATGAACAATGATCATATTTGATTGGCGCCACATCTAATGCCCAAAGCAACAATTAAACAGAGGCTTATGCTGGTAGAGTTGCAGCACCAGGTGATCTGTGAAATCTGAAGTTTTACTGCTCAAATAAAGGGCTACAAATGTTATTGTTTCCGCAGATGGAAAGAGCCCCCTCAGTAGGAAAGATCCTCCCTGGCGCCTCCCCAGCAAAGTCTAAAGCGGCCACCATCTCAGACGCCGAGATCGAGAGACAGCTGAAGGCTCTGGGAATGGACTAAATCTCTTCACCCTCCACACATTTGTACCCACTGCCACCAAAGGACTCAGAGTGGGAAAAGGGAGTGTCTAAGTAATAAATAAAGGAAGAATGTCAGCAAACATACTCTTATTGGAGTATGGCAGTGAGTTACTGGAGGAGATTCTGTGGTCAGATATATACAGCAGATTTAGACGTTCTGACAAAATGCGCTCCAAATCTGCTGCACATATTTAAAGGTGAAGGATGTCATTTTTGCACCACTAGTGGCTCCAAATGGAGCATGATTGGGTGGGGCGGCACTATCTGTTTGGGCGACCAATAGAAAATTACGGGGTGGGGATATTGAAAAGTTAATGGCCAGAATTGCATACTTCCCTACTTTATAGTATGTAAACAGTAGTATGTTCAAATTCACAGTATTCATAAAACAGTAGACTAAATTTATCCGGGTGACCTACTACATTTGTCAAAATTCTGAAGTGCACATCTAATGGACATTTTACTATCCCATTTGGAGTGGATTTGTGAATAACAATGTAGTGGCACAACTGACACTGGTATGTCACATGACAATGATAACATGGTGAATATAGTACATCTGGATTGCATTCACACTATTAGAGCATACTTTTGTAACAGTGTTTGATTAAAAAATTACACACTTTACTTTTAACTTTGAAGGGTGCTATTACTGTGACCATGAATTGTCCTTTAAATCCTTTAAATGTACACAAATCACATGTATCCCATTTGAGAACACGTTTATAAAAATAAATGTGAAAAATGTTATGTCTTTTAATAGCTCAAGTTTAAATTTCAGTGAAGGGGTTGCTTAAATCGTCTTATTCATTAAAGAAATGAAATCAATTAAAATACAATTTGGACACTAATTTATAAATGTCACTGCATTATATAACTTTATTTTAACCTTTTTAAACAAAACATTTAACAAACTGTTTAAAAAAATGTAATAAAAATTGTATTTGGACACTAAAAGCACCCCTTAAAATCTATGAATGTCATTATCTGACACAATATCAAACCAATTGGCATTTATTTTAACTTGTTCAAATAAAACATTTAACAAAAGTCATCAGAAATTTGTCGGGATTTAAACTATAAAACTGTGGATGTTCATTAACAAGAGAAAGTAATGTGGCACTAAGTATTCGTAAAACGTTAGTGGATGAATTAGTTCATGTGATTCTCCACACCTCTAATTGCTCTGATAGGACTCCTGTGTGAACTTGAGGAGAACTGACTTCTAAACACACCTAGAGACCTTTTTCAAACTGGTCACTTGGTTTGATATTTGATGATATAACATTCAGACATTTTTAAGTGTGTTCAAATACTTTTTTGGGGTCACTGCAGCACATCCAGTACTCCTGCTGGTGAATCAGTACAATAAACCCACTCACTGCCAAAGGTTGGTGTTGGTTTTTTGCCTGTAGATAATCACACATCAGCATTGCTGAGATCCCGGATCTTCAAGGTCTACAGGCTGCGCTCTCGTTGGCCATGAAGGAGCTGTGGTGTAGGCTGGTTTTGACCCTCTTCTCCCTCTGCCGGCGGTTACAGAACCAAACACGCACCACCTCCTTCTCCAGATGGAGACCCTCCGCCATCCGCACAATCTCCTGAGATGATGGCTTACTCTTCTCCACAAAATTCCTTTCTAAGGCTTCCTTAGCCCCAAGACTGCGGGAGGAAATTAAGAACTAATTAGGTATTAATTAGAGGAAGATGCTGATGGCTTTTGTTTTCTGTGTAGTTCAGATTCCCCATTTACCTGATGGTTGTTCTCCGTTTGCGTTTACGCTCATGCATGCCCATCTTCTCATTAAAAAGAGCTGATGGGAGTCACAAATTAAAGTAGTGATTCTGCCATCTTATGTTTTCATTAAAAACTCAGGGATGATGGTAGGATAGTGGTAAATAAATAAATAATTGATCTCACTCAGGAGTGTGCTGACTCACCACCGGCATGCTCAGCCTCCTCCAGCCACTTTGCCAGGATGGATTTGAGCTTGCAGGCATTTTTGAAGCTGAGCTGCAAGTTCTCGAAGCGGCAGATGGTGGTTTGGCTGAATTCAGAGCCGTGCACAGCCGCCAGGGCTTCACCCACATTGGTCTGTGTGTAACCTGTCAATCAAAGCTAGAAGTTAGGAGAAGTTTTAACCCTTGTGAAAAAGAAGTGTGCTTAATTGTACTGATTGTGCACTTTTAATGTACTTCAAATCTTCAAGATTATTAAAAAAAAAATGATTTGCAGTCAATATAATCCTAGCTAACAGGGAACATTCTCAGAACTATGGCTTCATGTTCTGGCAGTGTTCTCTCAAGGTTCTTCCAGTAAACTTAAAGGGATAGTTCACCCAAAAATGAAAATTCTGTCATTAATTACTCACCCTCATGTCGTTCCAAACCTGTAAGACCTTCATTCATCTTAAGAACACAAATTAAGATATTTAAATGCATTGTGCTCTTCTGAAAGCTTGGCGAAGACTGACACGGAAGAAAAGATATTGTTGAATGAAGTCGTTTTTTTTTCTTTGCGCACAAAAAAGCATTCTCGTAGCTTCAAAAAATTAAGGTTGAACCACTGATGTCACATGGACTATTTTAACGATGTCCTTACTACCTTTCTGGGTCTTGAATGTGTCAGTTGCATTGCTCTCTATGCAGGGTCAGAAAGCTCTCGGATTTCATCAAAAATATCTTAATTTATGTTCTGAAGATGAACGAAGGTCTCGCAAGTTTGAAACGACATGAGGGTGAGTAATTAATGACAGAATTTTCATTTTTGGGTGAACTATCCCTTTAATAGAAACTTAATTTAAAAATGTTCATTCAAAGTTATCTGGTCTTTAGCAATGTTAACAAAACATTAGCACAAAAAAAAGTTATTTCTCCTATACTAGGATAGGTTATTTCTACTATATTTCACTATAGTATATTATACAAGAACATTATTTATACTATATGTTATTTATAACATCCATCCAGTTTTTCTAAAACATTTTAGTTGGATGTTCATATAATGGCTTTTAAACTTGTTTCAAACAACATTCAAAAGTAGCATTCCCATAATGTTTCAACAAATATAAAATCTAACATTCCTATAATATTTTCTCTAATGTTCACATAACCAAGAAAAACATTTTAAAAACATTTTTAAAAAATGGAAGTTCTGAATGTTCTGACAAACTTAGCGTGAAGGTTAGCAAAACTAGAACATATTTTGCCGGTTGGGATATTAATGAAATAAAAAGGTTTATGTTTCTAAACACACGTAAATACACTTTTAAAAAGTGCACTTTGTAATAATGTCAAATTAAAAGTTTTACTTTAAAAAAAATGGACTTTCTGCATCAAATCTAGTTTTCTTTTGCAGATTATTCTGACCAAGAGTTGCCAATTTAGGCAGAGAAGGTTGTGTAAATGACCAAACAATGTCAAGCAAACAAAGTTTGCAGTTGAATGTAGATAATAGCTCAATAATAGAACGTCACAGTAATAACTTTATCTAACATAAACTAATCAAGCTAAATAAGCTAAGTGATATAATAAATATGGTGTGGCAATGTCTTACATAATTTTATAAAAAATATGGTCCAGCTCAGAAGACAAACCTAGTTTGATCCTCCTCAGTTTGAAGTCGTTAGCAAACTTCTCCAGTTCACGGATCTGCGGTGAGTCCATGTCGGGCGGCTCTTCCAGGGGCCAGCTTTTCCGGCGCAGCTCCTGCTTGATGTCTCCTAGGGTGAGTTCGTCCGAGAGCAGGGCCTGGGGCAGCGGCGGTAAACTGTGGGTCAAAGCACAGGAGCCCCCACCCAAACTGTGCTCTGGGAACTTATAGAGGCGTGGAAGCAGAGCTCCTGCGGGACAGGACACAAATGAAGGCTGTGTGTTAGAGCGAATAATAACTATTCAAGGAGATCAAATCTTATAATATCTAACCATCATTTATTTGAAAGACTACAAGGGACACTGGGACATCTTTCAACACCCTGCAAACTATATTGCGTGTTAGTAATTCTGAACACCAACAGATTCAAACAGCCAAAAATAGGTTATTCAGTATTAAAGATGCTGTGAAGTGTATTTCAGTGAGATCTATCAGGTATAATTTCGGTTATGAATCACCTTTTAGAAATTAATATCTATTGTGAAGATGATGTATTACAGAATTGGCTTTTGTTAAAGGAATATATTAGGGACAGAGAAAAAAAATAAAAGGATTACCAATTAAACCCAATTACCAATTACACAATAAAACATTTCCTTTGAAATATTTCAACTAGAGAGAGAGAGAGAACACCGGAAATATTTCTTAATCGTCACTTTTTCCACATTTTTGGTAATAATAAGACAAATTAAATACCTGGATTTTTTTTTTAATTCCAGTTTTCTATTTTAGAAAAGTGTCAATTTTGTATTGAAAAATATTATATATATATATATCCAAAATATTACATACATATAAAGGGGATATAAAATATTTCTGAATGTTTCTGAGGCTTTACTGTTTTAACAATAAATGGATCTGCATCTCCCTCTAGTGGCTAGATATTTTCAGAGCAATATTACACACTGTATTCAGGTTTATGTTTGAAAGGTAGTTTAATGCAGTGGCGAGAATTATAGAATCTAAAAGACAAATCACTGTATTTCTAATTTTACATAAAGCACAAACATTTACAATAACGCATAAACATCCATATGATTCTATGAGTTATAATGCAGTATAGGCAAAAAGGTGAAGGCAAACATGTAAATTTTCAGCTGTTAATAAAAGGGTTAATTATACTGCCGGTGGGGTTTTCTTTTTTTTTTGGACAATCTTCTGTACGCATCACACACTTGTTATTTCTTGCTACAGACACTAGGTGGAAGCACAAACATACTGAAATTAGTCAAAGTAAAATCTTACATTTCTAGTAGTACAAGTCAAGTGTGGCACAGTTACACCAGACACCAGCACACGCTGCAGTCATCGTCCTGGATAACAATTTTTCTCTGATTATACATGATTTATTCTGACTGACTCTGAACTTTTAAAATATGTACACTTTGTTGTTGTGTTTGCCAGGACTCAGCGGGCGTGAGAAACACTGCGTAGGCCTACACGTGAATGTCATGGGGCTGAAGGTTTGGATTTAAAGCACAGGGTGTACCTTGCAGTGAGTTGGCTCCGTTGACCATGTTGGCATGAGGCGCGCTGCAGGTCTGCAGGATGCGGGTCTGGGAGATGCTGGCAGAGAGCATTTCCTGTGCTGGAGACACAGATTATACATCATTACCACACACACACACACACACACATATTTGTTTTTGTGAATTATGGTGACTTTCCATAGACTTCTATTACTTTTATACTGTCCAAACGATATTTTCTAAACCCTAACCTTAAACCTTACCCCTTACAGAAAACCTGTTTGCATTGTTACACTTTCAGATAAACATAATTTACTATTTTTAATATTTTTTCCCCCTCGTGGGGACCACAGGCATTGTCCCCCACAATGCCAAAAATTTTAGGTTTTACTATCCTTGTGGGGACATTTGGTCCCCACAATGTAGCAAGTACACACACACACACACAAGCTAAATTCTGTATTTCTGTGTGTTTATGATGTATAGTAATGCATATGCACAGAAGAACAATACTTGAATCACTTGCGTAACTTGTGCGTAACTCGACGTACCTGCCATCATGCCGTAGGTGGTCTGCTGGTTGCCATAGTGACATGGGGGCATTGGGTAGTGCAGGCTGGCTGACACATTGCCCAAAGCAGAAGTGGACAGGTGCATATGAGAGCGTTTGGACGACTGGACCAGTGGCAGACCTGAGGGGAATAAACCAGACACTTACGTATATCTGTGATACATCCTAGACAGACATCCTAGACAATATCCTTGCATGATTGCAAAGATATTATTTAAACTGAGCTGGATGTTGACATCACTGAATTCAATGATGAACTGTCTTTAACTGAAAAATGAGTGTTTACTATTGTCACTTTGCATTATTGACACTATTTTCCTAATTAATGCTGTTCAGTTGCTTTGTCACAATCTGTATTGTTAAAAGCGCTATATAAATAAAGGTGACTTGACTTGACTTGACTTGACAGACAGACAAAAAGGCAAAAAAAACAAAACAAAAAGGGGCAAAAAAATGCCTTCGCTGTTTCTTTCTTTCAAATTCAAAATTATTTTATTGGCATGACTGTGTGCAATATTGCAATATTTGCAATATATGTGCAAAAAACAACAATCTCAAAAATAATAGAAGAGAACATTAAAACGTACTTTAAACTTAAATAAACAGTGTATTAGAGTGTACAAATTAGAACGTGTGAACATTTGATACCACAGTGTTTAACATGTACTGTATGTAATTGTCACGAATCCGGTCCATGAACTTCCGTCTGCTAGCCATCAGAGGTCACCCTTTCCATTTTCATTGACTCTCGCACTACACACTGTTGCATATCATCCTGGACTACATATCCCATCATTCATTGCACTGATTGCACACAGCACTGATAGCACACAGCTGTTTCACTAATTGCACATAGCACTGATTGCACACAGCTGTTTCATATCACTCACTCACTATTTAACACTCACTCTGATCCCTTCCCACCGCCGAGTATTGTTTAGCGCTTATCACTCCCCTAGCGATAGCTACGCTATGGAGCCATTTCGAGTTTTTTGTTGTTCAGTCATAGTCTTGTCCTGCCTGATTTCCCGTGTTCCTGATTATTGCCTGTTGATCTTTAGTTAACCCTTTGCTTGCTGTTTCGGACTGTGTTTGCACCTCGCCTGGACTCTAGCTCATGTTATTGGATTACCCCTCATGTCAAGCCCTCTGGATATTGTTAGCCGCTCATCGACCACGCCCGTTTTGGATTATTCTTCTGTCCTGCCCTCAATATACCTGTTTGCCATTGTCTGACCGATGCCTGTTTTATGACCACGTCTCTGTCTCCTATTAAAGCTTTGCAGATGGATCCGCAAGTCTCTCGTCTCGTCGGCTCCGTAACAGTAATATACAGTTGTGGTCAAAATTTTACATACACTTTGCAGTATCTGTAAAATTGTAATTATTTTACCAAAATAAGAGGGATCATCAAAATGCATGTCATTTTTTTATTTAGTACTGTCCTGAATAAGTTATTTCACATAAACGATGTTTACACATAGTCCACCAGACAAAATGTGACCTGTCCGCCAGGCAAAATGAGTCAAGAGCAAATTTTCAAAAATGAGTTATTTTTATTTTCACATTCTCCATTAAAAGACCTTCAAAATGATTTGTTGGAATCCGACGAAAAATGACTGAGCTACACCCGTTTGAAGTCGGCGAAGTCAGCAAAGTCAATTCTGAGAAAAATCAAGTTGACGTTTTCTGAAGGTTTCCTCCACTTCCTTTCTTAATATTAATTACCATATTAATAATCACAATATAGCCATTTTTATTTTATCTTTGCTATTAAAAATAAGAACAGATGCAAAAAAAATCAACAACAGTAGAACTAATATAAGAAAGAAACAAATAGGCCTAGTGCATTAGCTACTTTTTTCATTTTACATCTAAACAAAAGCATTCAAGTACGAAAAACAAATAATCAAAAGTAACGGCTGAAGCGGTGTTATGTGCACGATTCATATATCAGTCAGCAGCAGTGCAAGAAGCGAGCAGAGAAAAGGGTATCCTCTCAGAAAACGTACAAATAAAGATAATTTTAGATGTTTAATTACTATTTGGAGCATTGGGATTGCTAGACTGTCTATTGCTGTAGCTCAAAATTAGCCCGTGCGCATTCCGACTCATTTTGCCAGCACGGGTCACAAATAGACTAATAGTAGAATTTATAAAAATGACCCTGTTCAAAAGTTTACATACCCTTGATTCTTAATTCTGTGTTGTTATCTGCATGATCCACAGCTGTTTTTGTTTTGTTTAGTGATAGTTGTTCACGAGTCCCTGTTTGTGCTGAACAGTTAAACTGCCTGCTGTTCTTCAGAAAAATCCTTCAGGTCACACAAATTACCAGCATCTGTTGCGTATTTGAACCCTTTCCAACAATGACTGTATGATTTTGAGATCCATCTTTTCACACTGAGGACAACTGAGGGATTCATATGCAACTATTACAGAAGGTTCAAACAATCACTCGATGCTCCAGAAGGAAATACCAAATAATTTCTGGGACCTGAAGGATTTTTCGGAAAAACAGCAGGCAGTTTAACTGTTCAGCACAGACAAGGGACTTATCAACAACTATCAAAACAAAGAAGACGCCGCGAATCATCCAGGAAACAACACAGAATTAAGAATCAAGTGCATGTAAACTTTTGAAAAGGCCATTTTTATAAATTCCACTATTATTTTCTCTTGTGGACCGTAAACGTCTTTTATGTGAAATATCTTATTCAGTTCAGTAACATGCATTTTGTATGATCTCTCTTATTCGATGCTCCAGAAGGAAATACCAAATAATTTCTGGGACCTGAAGGATTTTTCGGAAAAACAGCAGGCAGTTTAACTGTTCAGCACAGACAAGGGACTTATCAACAACTATCAAAACAAAGAAGAAGCCGCGAATCATCCAGGAAACAACACAGAATTAAGAATCAAGTGCATGTAAACTTTTGAAAAGGCCATTTTTATAAATTCCACTATTATTTTCTCTTGTGGACCGTAAACGTCTTTTATGTGAAATATCTTATTCAGTTCAGTAACATGCATTTTGTATGATCTCTCTTATTTTGGTAAAATAATTAACATTTCACATATACGGTCCACCACAGTGACCCCTCAGTATGTGTGAAGTATCTTATGATGTTTGTGAATTTATGTAGAGGTCGCATATTGATTTAAATTTGTAACAGTGAAGGAGGACACTCTTTGCTCTCTGGGTAACCAGCTCTTTTTGTGTCTGCCGGTCTCAAAAAATTATAGAAAAAAGGACATCTGTGCCAAAGAGGAAAGGTCACCCCTAAAAATCCTTAACCTAACATATAAAATCTTACAGTATGTGATTTTGGGCACCTGTTTCACTGATAATTTTGCTTTGAATTTGCAGAAGAAGCACTGCCACATTTCCTGAACCTCATCGCATCTCTGCAGAGGTGACATTTACACAAATAATTCGTTATTGCAGTAATAATGAATACCAGATTGGATAATTCCTTCCTCTATCAAATGCATCTGAAAATAAAATTAAACTCATTTAATGAAGGAAAGCAAGTATGTAAATACAGATAATAGTTCATGATATGCACAGTGACCTCCGGCTGTCAGAGCCGCACAGAACATTCAATTGAATTTGGTTCAGATCAGAGTAAACCCGTGGGTGGTAATCAAACTCAATAAGCACCGCTACATCATTCTGAGACCAGCCTCCACTAACACTCATGTCAAGATGATGGCCGGCCTTGTTCAGTAGTGCATGCACAAGATTGGCATTGAAATGAAGCGATCAACCTTTGATCCCTTATTAAAAACACCCATTGCTTTATCCAGAGTGCCAGCAGTTAAGCGCTTAGAAACACTAACAGCCACATTATTATAAATAACTCTTCAAACTTCAGATAGCTGTAAACTCTTGACATTCCCAGTCACTTTCCGCAGGTGTAAGTGGGGCTGAGTTAACAGAGGGCATGTGTGCATATGAATAGAAATGCCAAAACATTTCATTTGAGAGTTTCGCATCTTCTGGCTCAAAGCCCGGGTTAAATTGCACAGTTCAGTAATTATGCATAAGAACTATGATTTACTATGGCAAACAATGAGCAGAGATTTGACTCAATTCATCGAGTTTCTGACAAAACTTTCACTAACGCTCTCTCGCGTGTGAAACAAAACTGGGACAAAATTATGTACATGATAATTTAGCCATCAACATGTCAAACTAATAATATGCCTGCTTTGATCATTATCTGCGGAGAAGTAACAGCTGTGCAAATTGAGCTGATTAGCCACGTCTACATAATTTTGACTTATTTCAACTAATTACTGTTTGTCTTTTCTTGCTCCCTATAGTGACTGTGAGAGGTGTCACTAAAAACCGTCTGACAAAATATACGCTACCTTTCAAAAGTTTGGGGTCAGTAAGTTATTCTTTTTTTTAATTTGAAAGAAATTAGTAGTTTTACTCAGCAAAGATGCATTAAACTGGTCAAAAGTCACAGTAAAGACTTCTATTTCAAATAAATGTTGTTCTTTTGAACTTTCTATTCATCAAAGAATCCTGAAATGTATCAGTTTTCAAATAATGATAATAATCAGCGCATCTGGTTTCAACATAATAATAATAATAAATGTTTCTTCATCAACAAAACATCATATTAGAATGATTTCTGAAGGATCGTGTGAAACTGAAGACTTTAGTAATGATGCTGAAAATTCAGCTTTACATCACCGGAAATAACCTACATGTTAAAATATATTAAAATAGAATATATATATTTTTTCTTATTATTATTTCAATCAAATAAAGGCAGCCTTGGTGAAAAGAGACTTCTTTAAAAAAACATTATACAATCTCACCTGCTTCTCTGCAGTAGAATACATGTTTCTCTTATATAAAAAGACATTGTTCAATGCATAATACTATTGATTTGGTGATATTTCTCCAAAAACATTTCCCCTGGGATAAAGAGATGTGATCTCTGGAAAGGTCACTTCCTCAGAGTGAGAGTCAGACAGATCGTGAGTGATGACAGCAGTGAGGACTGGAGATAACACTAAATAATATGTGAACTTTAGGGTCATATAGACTAGGTCGAAAGGACATCCGCTCTCTCTCTTTCATCACCTTGAGCTTGTTCTGTGTTTTTCATAAAAACCTCTAAGGAAAGTATTCCCAGTGGACTAATGCTGTCATCGCAGAGATTGATCTATACATGTACAACTTTCCAACTTATTTCAGATGTAATGTTTGCAACTTCTTTCTTTTCTATGAGTTGGGGTTTTTCCACTCGGAAATGTTTCATAGAATAGTGATAGATTTATTTTTATTTTAAAGAAATAAAAACAAATTTTCAGCAAGGATGAATTAAATTGTTCAAAAGTGACAGAAAATATATCATATATATCATTTATAATATAAAAACTTAAAAATAAACACTGTTCTTTGAACTTTCTGATCATCAAAGATTAAAGAAATATGCCATTGTCTTCCACAGACATATTAAATGAATACATTTATTGATCAAGGATGCATTAAATTAATCAAAAGTGTCAGAAAAGTTTTCAAATAAATGCTGTTCTTTTGAACTTTCTATTCATAAAAAAAATAAAACATGTCACAGTTTCAACAGCAGCACAACTGTTTTGAACATTAAATATAATTAGAAATGCTTCTTGATAACCAAATCAGCATATTAGAATGATTCTGAAGGATCATGTGACACTGAAGACTGGAGTAATGATGATAAATTTGTAATTATATTTGACTGTTTTTACTGTATTTTTGGTCAAATAAATGCATAAACATTTTACAGACCCCAAACTTTTAAACTGTAGTGTGTGTGTGTGTGCATTTAATTCAATTTATAATTTTAAATCTATAATTATAGTATTTGATTGATCGTTCTCAACTGGATTTGTTTCAAATGAAATGAATATAAAAGTAAAAAAAAATCTAGCATTGCAATGTGACAGAGGCTAATAGGAAAACTGACAATGTTGTAAATAAATAAAAGCAGAATTGTACCAGCCAAACACTTTGAACAAATACTGGACCAAACATTGCATTAGTATCATTGCCAAATGCCAGACGGGTTTGCACCAAAACAGTTTTGACACCAACAACAAAAGATATGGTAAACAATTTCTCATCCTTTTAAACAGTTAATACAATTATTTCTTTAGCTAGTTCTGCACCACTATACAGTTAGGTGCATTTTATTATTAGCATTTAGTACTTTTTTCCCTCTTCTCACTGTGTGATCGTCCAAGAGCATGAGACTTACCTGAAGGCAGCATGTTGGTGGTGTGGCTGGTGATGGGCAGACAGTCTGCGGCTCCGGTGTGATGCATGAGCAGCGGCAGAGCAGCCGAGTCGCCGCTCAGAGTAGTGAAGGAATCGGTGGTGCTGAAGGCCTGGCAGGTCATGACTCTAGATGTTCACCTACTCGGGGTCCTACTCAGGGTCCCACCTGTGTGCCACGAGCAGGGCGTGTGCAGGTATTTATACTGAGCCACCTCAGACCCCCTCATCCATGTTAATGAGCTCTTGCTGTTAGCAAACCATGACGGCCCGCTGAGGCAAAGCTCTGGTAATTAGGGCAGAGAGGTGCAATATGATACTGTCCATTTCCACTGTGTGTGGCTTCCAACAAACACCAGCGACAGCTCTGACAAACCACGGCTCATGGGATTTAAGATTAATTAGCCATTTCAGGATGTGTTTACATTTAGATACATTTTAGATGCAATGAGGGAGTGAGTCTGATTACATAAATATGAAGTTATCATTGAAAATATGATGGAAAAAAATGTGGATTTATTATGAGTGCACGAGTATAAAAAAAGCTACATGGTATTACTAATTTTAAAGTATTAAACCATGGTATAGTAATAAAGAATTCTGAGAAGCACATTCATTTATTAATTATATATTATAAAATATATTATATTTATATTAAAAACCATGGCATATTTTTTTATTCAACATCAAGATTTTAAATTAAAATTACACATGCATACGGTGTTAGCCAAAACAATGATTTGTTGTTTCGTTACATGATTTTTATACATATTTAATTACATTTGATTGTGTTTCATAGCTATTTTACAGTTGAAATTTTGATGAAGGTCTGTAATTGTTACGGGGCTGACGAGACGTGAGACTTGCGGATCCATTCGCAGAGCTTTATTAGACACAGACAGAGACGTGGTCATACAGCAGGCATGGGTCAGATGAGGGCAAACAGGTATATGGTGGGCAAAACACAAGAATAGTCCTAGGGCTAGCACAGGTCGACGATCGGCAGACAGAATCAAAAGGGGCAAGACAAAAGGGGTGAATCCAGGGAACCAGGCGAAGATCAGAAACCGGGAAGGCTAAGGCTAAGGCTAAGGCAAATGACTAGGGCTAAGGCTAAGGCTAAGGCAAACGACTAGGGCTAAGGCTAAGGCTAAGGCTAAGGCTAAGGCTAAGGCTAAGGCTAAGGCTATGACAAGGGGTCCGTAAGGTAGCTGTCTCTAGGAGAGTGATAAATGCTGAAACAATACTCGGCAGAGGGAAGGGATCAGAGTGAGTGTTAAATAGTGAGGGAGTGATATGAAACAGCTGGGTGCAATCAGTGTAAACAGGTGTGTGCAATTCGTGCTGAGTGCAATCAGTGCAATGCATGATGGGAAATGTAGTCCGGGGTGCTATGCAACAGTTTGTGTGGTGCGAGAGTCAATGAAAAGGAAAGTTCATGGACCGGATTCGTGACAGTAATATAGTTGTGCTAATGGGGCATGTTGTCAGAAAAAAGGTCAACGTGTGATCAATTCATATTTTAATCCTATTTTCTCTGTACCGATGGTGAAATTATTATTATTTTTTAAAATTTCGCCTTCACTAGTTCTAAAAGAAACTATACAAATATGATTTATTACAAATAAAGCACAAATATTTCATGTATTTTCTCAATTAATGTGAGGTCATAAAAAGTGTATGCAGATTAATATAGAAGAGCTGAAGCATTCATTTTAGATTAACTAAAGCATTTCAAATTGCTGATGAATTGCAGATTGTCAAATTGCTTTAAAAATCATGTTCAAACACAATTTTTTAAAGAATTTCTTTAAAAACTGTAATAAACATGAGTGAGCTGCGCTAATGGGGCATGTTGTCACAAAAGGTCAATGTGTGATCAATAAATATTTTAATCTTATTTTCTAAGCACCAAGAGTGTAATTATTATTATTATTATTATTATTATTATTATTATTATTGTTGTTGTTGTTGTTCTTTTTTAAGACTTCAAGATACATGCCTAATTTTCACAATTTTTTATGACTAAACAGCCTCCACGTAATTCTTTTAAAAGAAACTGCACTTTGACGAATAAGTTTTTAAAAGCACAAATATTTAATGTAGTTTCTCAATTAACATGAGGTCATAAAATGAATGATTATAGAGGAGCTGAAACTTTTACAATTTTTGATTAATTAAATCATGTCAAAATGCTGATGAATTACAGAATGTCAAACTGCTTGAAATTTCATCTCAAGCATTCAAATACAACAAACATGAGCGAGCTGATGTTTAAAGGGGTCATATGATGCTATTTTAAAGATCATTATTTTGTGTATTTGGTGTAACAGAATATGTTGACATGCTTTAATGTTCAAAAAACACATTATTTTTCAAATACTGTACATTATTGTAGGTCCTCTATGCCCCGCCTCTCTCAAACGCTTTGTTTTCTACAAAGTCCCTCCTTCCGACAAGCGCAGTCTGCTCTGATTGGCCAGCTGACCCAGTGCATTGTGATTGGCCGAACACCGCAAGCACTCGTCGGAAATGTAACGCCCCTTACCATAATCGCAGCTTCAGCTTTCAAAGTAAATATCAAGACAGTTAATAATGTCGTTAGTTTAACCATCAGTTCAAGCTCGAAAGGGCAACAGAGCCGTGTGACAGACACAGTGATGCTGCAGTACACAAGCCGCGGTTAAGACAGCTGACGTGCTATGATTTCTGACAGGCAGTTCACTCTCCTGTGATGTGACCCAGTTCCCCTCACACACACACATGCGACGCGTTACTCTGCGCTGCTCAAAACTCCGCATTTGAACAGTCAACAGCAAATACTTAAACTAATAACAAAACAGTAGCTGATTCAGAAGCACCAGATTGTCATAGCAAAGTCAGAATTACCATTGATACAGTGAAACCTATGCAGTGTTTTATTCATACACTTTATTTTTAAGTTTATTTATTTGTTCTATTGTGTTTGTAATTTGCTGCTTTTTCTTTTTATAATAAAAATTAAACACCAGATTGTCATAGCAAAGTCGGAATTGACCCTTTTTTTTAGAAATAGCCTTCGTGCACAGATAGCCTTGTACTCTTCTAGGTTCAAAAAACTGTCGTCCATAAAATGCGTTGCACAAATTCGAACATCTGGGTTGTGCTGTTCTGTTGTAAATAAATCTTAACCAATGATTCCTAATTGCATCTACTTCCGGAAGGCCAAATAAAGTGCTTTTGTTTTTGCTCTGAATCACACAGCGTCTCCCTGACATGCTGCATCAACACTACTGCTGTTCCTGAAACCACGCCTTCTTTCTTTGCATGCACATTTGGGCGGCATTATGCTAATATTTCCACATAGTGACATAGATATGTGGGGGCGTGTTATAATGAGTAATTTTAGGTAGGCGTGACTGACTCTTAACTTTTATAAAGAATATCTCTTTGGATTTGAGACTTTAATCTTTGCAACTTTACAGATCTTCTTTATGCACCAAGAGCTTGTAACACTCCAAAGAGAAAGGAAACCTTGAAATCGCATCATATGACCCCTTTAACTTAAACTTCACAAAATACTGCTGTCAGCATGATATATTTGTGATACATTTATTCTCTTGACAGCAGAACAATGTCTCATTTAGTTTAGTGAAACATGATTTGGCTTGATTCCACACGAGTGTGAATGTTTACTTGCTGGCCATCTGGTCGCTGGACAATTAGTTTGTGTTGCGTGTGTTCTGGTACATTCATGTGTTTGTTAAAATAAGCTCCAAAAGCTCTAGTCTTGAGACAGAGATGTTGTGACTTGTTTTATTTGTGATCATCTAAATCCCTCTGCTTAGCTGAGCAGGTGCCCATCTGCATGCTCAGGTACAGCACAATAGTTCACTTCAACACAACACAGGGAGTTTTTGTGTTTGTGCCGGAATGACAAATTAATCGCCTGAAGACTATTCTCCCTTTGCATACTGAGGAGGATGTGGTGAATATTTCTCATCAGAGTTGTAAATTGTTGTATTGCAGTCTGTCTGTTTTCTTTCTTTTCTTCAGGCATCTCACATACAATGGCTGATTAATAAATACGGCAGAATTGAAAATTATTAAGGTCTTAATCATGGATTTGAGTGATGAAAATGCACCACTATGCACCCATGTATAGGTTTACATGTAATAGTTACATGTCTAGGTTTACATGTAATGTAATAGTTACTTTTTTAGGGAGATACACAATATTGGTAATGCATTACTTTTAAAAGTAATTTCCCCCAGCACTGGTAACAAAACTTGCTAGATTGTCTATAAAAGCCTATAAACTGATTTTTATGTAAAGGAGTCAGGTAAATCAAAACGAAGTGACGTTTATGCACGCTCCAGTAAGAACTCTCTTCCAAGAGCTTCTTGTTCTTTACTGTAATGTCAGTGTGTCATACAAAGAAAAGTTCATTCAAACTATAGTCTCACACAGCCATTTCCATATAATCAAAAATATAGTATAGTCAAACTATCATAACAGAGTAATTTTAATTAGCCTAACCTTAACTGTACATGATGCGGTGAATTGCAGAGCTCGTTCAAACATATCCACATTCCTATTATCAAATGCTTTCTTAACTGCTGCTTTCTCAACATTGTAATTTTTGTTGTTTATTTCATTATTGAGAGGAAAGCGCGGAGCACATATTTGCATTTTCATCTAAACTCCATTCTCCAAAGCGTGGATGGCTACTGGATGTTCGTTAACAGTATGCCACTTCTTTTTACTTCTAATCAAAGAACAAAAAGAACTTGGCTGTGAGTATATCAGTGTACTGATTTTTTTTTATCAGTGTATTGAATTACGTTTAACTTCTTGTATGTTACCGAGAAAGTAAGTTGAAATTAACGGCAACTTAATGGTTCACTTAATGGCCACCTGTGTTGCTAATAACAAGCGTTTCTGAATTCTACATATAGCTAGGGCCCTATGATTTCCGCGATGCGGAAAACATGGACAGAATAATTTAATCCAGTCATAAAAATGGAATTTACAGTTTAACACGGAATTAATTAAAAGTACATCATTACACTTCAATCAAATCGCGATATGGACTAGTATCTGTAAATATTAAGCCACAAAAAAGTATTTTAAATATGAATCATT